AGCTCCTGTGAAGAGTCCTAAAAGAAGTGACCCAATATAAGTGTCTCTAAACACTGATTTGCAGAAGAGGTGCATAAAATTCTCACACAAATCTTTGGAGACTACTTTGGCTAGGGTTTTAATAGCTGCAGAGCACAATAGATGTGAAAACCACCAGAAAGCTAATGATTCCTGAATCTACTGTCTTTTAGATTAGGAGTTCAAGAGGAATAGGACAACCCTATGAAACTGCAGAAAGAGCTTAGGGAAGCAAGGTGTGATTCCCCTACACTGACATCTGAATAAATAGTAAGCAAAGAATACTCATTCTACAAATATGACATAGGAACTTATATTGACATAAATGATCAGAGGCTCAGTTTTAAATCTTGTCAAGAAATACCACCTTTAATATTGATAAATGTAAATAATAACCATAATGTTCATAGATCAATTATTTTCTGATAGAATGTTTTTTAATAAAATAGAATAATTTCAAAGAAACATATGAACTCATAAACATTCTGAAGGGGAAATTATAGAAGCAATCCATTCTGAATTAATTACTTTAGTGTTTGTAAGTGATAAATAGTCAACATTGGTATTAGAAACTGTACCAAAAGGAAAGAAAGAAAGAAAAAAAAAAGTAAACTGCATGGTAACACTTTATCCTGACTTGAGATAGATTGTATTTTGGTATTTTAGAATTTCCCCTCAGACAGCCATTCCATATGAGACCCATGCCTCCCCCCGCCCTGGCACTCCGAAAGGCTGTATGGGTTATATGTACTTAATTAGTTAGAAATACCACAGATGATTGAACATACCTGAATTGAATCTCAAGGGAATTTGATCAAGTTTTTGGGAATAATGTAGTGCTTTACAAGCAAGCAGATAAAATAATTTGCATCTGCAGCTTAACTTTGGCTTTTTAAAGCTCATTTCTGTGAGGTGCTGAGCGTTACACATGAATTGACAAATGCCCTATGCTCTGAGGTATTAAAAATCTTAGCAACTGACATTTGTATACCCAACTACTGAATCTGAGTAGTACAGCAATCTGTGAGTTGCAGTTTTCTATGGTTGGTCCATGTCACTCACAAAATTAAGTATCAGAACTATTATTTGCATTCATTTAAAAATAAATGATAGAACACAAAATAGTGACAGAAGTACTTCACTCTGTTAATGTAGTTTGTTTTCTTCTGCTAATAACACTCAGCTCTAAACTTCCTTTTAATCCTTGTATCTGCCTTAGAAATCTCCTGAAGCAATTTATATCCCGGGCAAATTACAAAGTATTTCCTGGTGTCTATTTCTAACTTGTTGCTTTTTGGTATCATGTGTTCTGAAATAATGTAAAAATACTTTCTTCACTTTTTCTGTGGGTTATTAATGTGTTACTTCACATACTATCCAATATCTCTTTGTCTTTTTTGAAAGGCAAAAGAACAGCTAAGAAATTGTCAGAATATTTTGTAAACTAACTCACAGCAAGCTTCTCTGTTATCTTAGGAAGTTAGTGCGCTAGTCAGGCAAAAAGGGCTGTAGTTTCATTTTAACTATGGTAACATTAAACTTGAAAGTAGAATTATGTCAACCGCAGTATCAAGCCCCCTCAAACGTCCTCAGTATTCTGAGTCCTATCTAATTTTTCTATGCTAATTTTGCAGTCTGACCTTTACATGAGTAGACAGGTGGGAAAATACATGTATCCTATCAGCTACCTAATGACTTCCTAATCTGAATAGACAGTCTTACATCAGCTGTGCCACCAGAAATTCTCTCTTTTATGCTGAACTGAGCTGCATTGAAACAAGTCTTAGTGAGACTACCTGACAGATGAAGCACTGCATAAAATTATGCCTTTTTGGTTATAGGTAGTATTCGTTTCTGCAGATTTTTTTAGCCAAAAATATGTAATTTCCAAGTTTCTTCTGTGAGCCAGCATCAGATGCTGCAGAAGCCCTATTTAATTAATCCCTGAATTATGGATTGGGTTCTAAGGGTTGTTTTATAGCTCTGCACACATATGTCATAATGTGTTCTAAGAAACAATTTAGACTTTTTGAGGTAGTGGTTTCATCTAAAGGAAGAAGTACCATGAATGTAACTGTTTCCTTTCAGAAACTGTGGCCTCCATGATGTCCTGTGCCTGTCAGTGCCACAATTTGATCATGAGATGTATGGAAAAGGACTTCTTTTTCTCGTGGTGGGATTTAAAAATATTACTTCATCATTTTATCAGGTAATCATTAAATCCTGGCTTACAAGAAGAAGTGAATGTGCTAAGCACTTTTACCACAACATTTAAGATGCTGTCATCTCTCTCCTTACTAGTCTCTTTCTCTAGCTAAAGTCACAATGTATTTAATCTCTCTGTGTATAAAAGTTGTTCCCTTGCTGAAGATATTAATCACTTTTCTCTATAGCTTTTCTGGCTCTGCAGTGGTTTTTTTTTGCAATGGGCTGACTAGAACTGCAGCTGGTGTCAAAGTTGGGAATGGTGGCATAATGTTGTTTTCTGGTTTGCTTTTGGTTACTTTCATTATAATTCCTGACATTCCATTTGCCTTTCTAACTGCTACTGAGGTTTAAAATGACATTTTTTAGAGGACTCTGTACAATGAGTCTAAGCTATTTTTCCAGAGATAATTTAGACCATCATTATGTGTATGCAGAATTAGAGTTGTTTTTCTCCGTGTATATTACTTTGCTTGCATCAGCATTTAATTTCATCTCCTATTTTATTGTCCAGTCATTCAGCATCATGCAAGCCTTCTGTTCATTGTCAGAGTTAAATTTGCATGCTGGGTGATTTCATATCACTGGCAAACATTACAACAAAGTTTACCCATTTTTTAGACTTTGGCTTTTGTCTTTAGTGCAGATATAAGTTTGATCTAATCTTACACAAAAGTGGGATACAGCATATGCAAATGAGCAAATAAATGAAATGAGCAGGAAATGGTTAGGGTTTTTTTTTTATTTTCTGCTGAAACTTGTCACATATTTTTGTTGCCTCTTTGCCCTGTTAAAACTAATTGCTTTCAAATTGTGGTTTAAGGGCCATCTTTTATAAGGTGTTTGTCTGAGAGGTTGATTATGGAGATGTCATTCCAAATATTTGCAGAATTTAGGTCTGAGGTGTAGCAATGTCAGACATGCTTTAAATAAAATAAGAATGTTAAATGAAGTAATCATGTTACTGAAATTGACCCAGAAGAATGCCCCTTTATTGTTTTTTGCCCCTTTGTTTTTGCAAAGATAAGAGCTGTAGAGGGTGAAGAAACAGTCTGAGAATTTTACTTCTCTCTGTACTTTGTAATATTACCAGTATGTGTTTGAATGCAGTAATTATTAAGTGAAAGTATGTGGACTGCTTTTGGTAGTTAGATTATAACTATTCTTTGTGGTTTTTGTAATATATGCATACAGCAGCACAATGAGTAAGAAGTTGTGGGCCTCCCTGCTTAGACAGTGATGTAAACCTTCCAAGGAAATTTCTTTCAGTATTTCAAATAATCTCAAATTTCAGAATTTCAAATAAACATTCTAACAAGACCATTCCAACTTTAACGAGCTGCCAGTATGTTAATTTGATTCAAGTAATAACTTTTCTAATTTTAAACTCAATTTCTTTTCCTATTTCAAAAGAAAATAAATTAAATGCTAAGATTATGTTCTTTTTATTTGATCATAGATTCAGCTGCTTTGCCAGAGAAAGATGGCTTGTTATTGAGTTCTGCAAATGGATACAGGTTCTTAGCAGTCAATGAACCAAAGTCCATGGAAGTCAATGAAAAGAATGTCTCTTGATTTTAGGGAGTTCTGCTTCAAGTTTATGATGCGAGATGTGGACATTACTAGTAAAAATGAGAGTTTGGAATTACTGAACTATACTAATGTACAGAAGTTAAATTTCACTGTATTCTTTTTTCACATTTTTTGGAATTCAACATTGAATAATGTTGAACTACCAGCATATATACTAGCAGTGTATACTTTTTTGTTACTCTTTAAAAAAAAAAAAAGGCAAAACATTTTCTGAAGGGCTTGAGGGCTTGCTCAAAGGCTTGTTGGATCTAATAAAAAATGCACTTTGTACATTTTGGAAGTGAACATCAGACATTAGATCAGAGGCTGAGTGATTACCAGATGAAGAGCACAAGCTGATTGACAAGGTGAGATAACCTTGTGAGTTCAAATGAGACACTAATGGCTTAGCATCTAGAATGTGTTCTGCTATGCTAAAAGTGAAAAACAGATTATGTAATAATGTTTTGCAAAATTTCTGTCAGTCTGTGCACTCTAGTGCACAGGATTTGAAAGAATTATATTTCATTGCACTGTGCAGAGAGTGAAAGTCATTTGAATGTGAAAAACATTTCTAAGATTCAGTATCCTCTCAAACCTTTCCTCATTTTTTATATGATATTTATTGTCTATGGGCCTAGCATTCTGGTCCTGGTACATCAAAGCTCTTTCGTAGGGATTAAACATGTATTCAAGTGCTTTTCTGGACTCAGTCTAAAGCATATCATAAAATAAAATATTTTTTTAATCTTGGAATAGACTGGAGAATTTCTTCATTAAAGAATACAGATCCAGTATTCTTGATGACATAGGAATAGGAATCTTACACATAGGATTTGTGTAAACCTATTACCTGTACAGAACAGTTAATTTTGTATTGCATGAAGGTATGCTTTGGTCAATGGGCTGGTGTATTACAGGCTAATAATATGAAATTTAAAATTAACATGAGTTTATTTCATGTCTGTGAAAATATGAACAGGAAGTAAGGCTTCCATGAAGCATAGAAGTACAGACAGATCTGTTTGAAGTCGCTCTTCTACTTTTCCTCAGTTAGCTAAAGTACCCAACATGTAGTATTTATATTTTATTTTACTGTAATTTTGCAGAGTATAGATGCAGTGTAATCTTACAATTTAACCTGGGCTTTGTATATGATGTATTGTGTGCTGGTATGTATTTAATTTTAAAATGAAACAATGTAGTTGCTCTTTGTTTTTATTTTATCATTTATCTGCAGAAAAATTTTACTAAGGCAAAATTTTACACTATAACATCACAGGAGAGAGGGAAAAAAAAGCAAACAAAAAAAAATCCAAACAAACAAATGAAAAAACAGGGAAGAATGCTGTTTACTGTTTATCAGATTAATGCAAACAATACTTCTCATCTTCAGCTCATTTGGATCTTTTGTTTAGAATTCAATCTAAATTATACTACAAGAAAATAAAAATGCATTCTTCTTCAAGACTGGTTTATTTCCTCTGGTGAAGGTAGTTTGTCAAGTGCTCCCACCTCTGCAAAAAGAAAAAAAAAAAAAGTATTAATACGTATGTAAGTATGCATATTGATCTTAGCAATTAAATAATGAAATCCAATTTCAGTAGTATATATTTTTATATTTTTCTTTACTCAACTATAAGAGGCAAATCCTTGAACTTCTCATATTTTAATTTATAAAATGTTGTTTTTTTCTTTTGAATGTTAATAATATCTTCCTGCTATAATTTCACCTTTTTAGAAACAGCAGTGACAGAATGACAATGAAATTATACCAATTTTATTATGTCAATTGATATGGCTGGATCCCAGCATCTCAAAACTTTTAACATTACCCAGTTATGGCTGCCATCCTACAGCCTGCTCTATATGGGAAGCCTTTAAAGCTGGAGGGAGGAATCGTCAAGAGAAAGAGCTGAAGGCCACTTTTAGTTATTGCCAAGATACTTCTTAGCAGTTAAAATATTCGCTTTACCTTGCAGATCAAAATGCATGTCTAATCTGAATAACCATTCCCTGAATTTGAATCCCATGACTGGGAGTTTTCCCCCTCCCCCCAAAAAACATATCTAAACCAATATATTTAAGTAGTAAAGTTTCATTTGAACAAAAATGTTAAAGCATGTCTACCATAATAAAGTATGTTTTTTTACCTCCTAAACCTATAGTTCTGATTTTTGTGTAAGAGTTTGTACTAGGTCTTGCCAACAAATATTGTTAAGGGGTAATATGATAACATTGTGTCTTGTGAAACCTGGGAATACAAGAACTGTCTCAGGGGAAAAGCCACTTTAGATGATCTGGAGATTCCTTTTTTTATGAGGACCATCTTTTCTGAATAAAAACAGCTGTTTGTCATCACTATCCTAAACAAGGAATTGTTACTTAGAGTTACAATACAGCCTTTTTTGCCCATTCGTCCCAGGGAAGAAGTGATTTGTATTTCTAGGAGATACATTTTATTTTCTTGCCCAATTTAGCAGCTCTTAGCCTACTCATCAGAGATTGCATGCTTGAGATCAACATGTTTCACACCCTTTTGGTTTGTCCAGTTACTGGTTTTACTTCCTAGGCTGACATAGCAGGGTAAAGGAATCTTTAGGCCTCCTTCTTCACAGTGGCACAACAAACACTAAGTGCGCTAAAATGGAATTGACCGTCATCCCCATGGTGTGTGTGTCCCCCCGCCCCGTTCTGTTCAAGTCTTGCACACTCAAATCTGTAGTAGACTTGTACATTCAAGGATAGTCCTATCTTCTCAGTAAATTTCACACCAGAAAGTGTGAAAGATTCAAAAGGTATTCACTAACCTTTAAGATGCAAGTAAGTCAAAAATTCAATTACTGTGCGCACAATGTTTTCATCAGCCAGTGGTCTTCCAAGATTCCCTATAAAGCAAGTTAGTTGTTACTTAATGTTAACATGGTATAAAGATCTATTGTATGTGACATTGTGGCTAGGTTTATGAGTACTCTGAAAAAAAGCTATCTGAAATTTCTTTTTTCTTAAAATCCTTAATGGAAAACCTAATTTCACGAAGAGCAAAGCCTCTTTAAGGTAGGTAACTGCAATTCTCAGAATCAAAACTGCCCAGCTTTGTATGCTATTGCTGCATAGGAGCTGCTTTGACACCTTGATGTTCATGGTCTTTAAGGCCTTATGAGTTCTGTTGCAGAAGAGAGTTATCCTCTGTTCTCAACTCTTTCCTTTGTGTCTACTAGCCTGAGATTGAAGGGAAAGGTAAATTTAGCAGATTCATCAGCTCTGAAAAACAGTTAAAAGTTCTTCATGTAGTCTGACTTTGTTCCCAATAAGCCACTCCAGTGATGCAGAAGTGATTTGTAGCCCAAAAGCTAGGCCTGGGACTTTACTAAAAGCTCAGAAAAGTATGTTTTTGCATATGTATCTAATACAATATACTAATCTTTGATGTTGTGGAAGTAGACTTTTTGATGCTTTTTAAATGGCCCAATTTATCAAGCTCCCTGGGACCTTGTTATTGCACTTTGGGAGGTACACTTTCTATGTCTATTAAAAAAAAAAAAAAAAAAAAAAAAAAGAGACATCTTTTTTTTATCAACAGGATGGAGAATTGCTCTGTATTAGAGAACAAATGATACGCAATTTCCCTAAGATTTTTCGTTGTCTTAATACAGAACAGATGGGTACCAGTACCTGACTGACAGTCCCTTATTACATCACTGAAAATACAGTCCCTTGATGTTATCATTAGGGATGTGTTTAATCTCAGAAAATAGTCTGAAAGACTGATTTTGCAGCAGGCGAGTATTGGAGGAGTTTTTCCATAATGGAAGAGAAGATTTAGGCCTCTACTGACATACAGGCAGACTGAGCTGTGTAGCAAAAATAAAAAATATTGATGGGGAGTGGTAAGCGACACAGAAGCTTCTGGTGTATGAAGAGTCAGCATTTAAGAAATTTGCATCTAAAAGTCTTGTCTTGCAGTCTTTGAACTGACACAAATCTGTTGTTATTAATTTCATAAACAATACTTGTATTTGAAGTTTTCCTTAATTTAATTTTTATTCCCACCTAACTTGTTATGATTAATCATTATTAGATTAGTAGTTTATTGACCCAGATTTTATTACCAATGTGATATTTATTGGGTAAATGGTTTATGGAGCATATTGTACAGGTGTATTTCTACATACTCCGCTATTGACCTTATAGCAATTGTTCTGTATAGGCAATTACATGTAGACTCTAGTAAAGAAACATTTATGCTCTTGGAATTTAAAGATTTTCCTAATTATACTCAGAGGTTGCATGTGTTCCCCCCTGCGCCCCCCAGTGCTATGTAACTAATACAGCTTACAAGTTCTTCTAGGTTATCTGGAGAGCTTGTGGATTTTGCAGCATTCCTCCAAGGAGAGAGAGTAGTCCTTTGCATGAATTATTTTACAGTAATAATGTAATGCCATTTTAAGATAAATTCTGCTGGTTATTTACAAAAGCAACTAAAAAAAAAATTCCTTCATTTTCAATTAAAGTAAGAATTCTGCCTTATTAATTTTTTAATATTCAAATCTCCTTTGGATAGGAACTCTATAATACACTTCAGCTTCAAAGAAAACTTTTGATGAGAGAAGAGCATCTAAAATGGTATTCATAACAGAGGCAGTTATATAATTTTCAGGTCCCATCCAGACAAGTTTGGTTAGGTTTACATATAATTGTGGAGGTACAGCAGCACCTGGCAAGAATTCCATAACTCTTAAAGATCATGTTCCTGTAAAGGAATATCCACAAATGGCAACATGTTGCATCGTGAGCTGCATTGTTAGATAAATGCCTGCCTTTGACTGACAAAATACTATTTTTACACCAATGTCAGAAACAGTGTTTGAGGAAGTAGGTTCTTTCCCCCTCTTCCTTTTTTCTTAAAAGACAAACAAACCACCAAACTAACCAACAAAAAAAACACAACCCCCCAAAACCACCACCCACACAAAACCCCACTATGTAACTATGTACCAGAACTAATCTGGCAGCCATTCTGAGAATGTAACAACCAAGAAATGTAGTAATGTTACATTTACAAAGTAATTTTGTCCATGAAATTGCAATTAAGCGCATTTCCTTTATTTATGGACTTATGTAGTGTTAGCTACATTTGCATCATGCTGGGTGGGTTGAAAATAGCCTGTGAGAGTTCTGGGGCTGGAACTTTGTCTTTCCCCATTAGTGCAGTGATGAATGCAATAGTATTCAAACAAGCACCACTTTCTTTGGTTGCAGTGAGGAATAGATCACTCTTTGACAGTCTAAAGATGAGATTCATCCCAGCTCACTTTAGATGTCTGCATCAGATTTAGTTTCTCCTCAGGAGAAAGAAACTGTTTTTTCTAGAAGTTTCTAGATCTTATCCTGAAGTAGGTGTTCAAAATGAATCCTAAAAGTGCAACCTTCTCTTCATAAAGGGAGTCTAGACATATATTGTAGAGGCTCAGCTTTGGATGATAAATCCAGAACAAGGCTGCATCCTTTTCATTGCCATTTACTAAATTCCGATACATGCAACATCAAAACAATATGTTGACCTGACTTCAGTTTTGACCAGGTTCTCAGTCTTTTAATGAAGATAACCCATCTTGCTTAAATATAGGAAATGTTGTGAGACTTAACATGGCAATTTTTTTTTTTTTTAAAATAGTGAAGACTCTTACAACCTAAACAGTGCCATACAGCTCTGAGGTCTGGTTTCAGCTGTGGAGTATCAGAATTTAAAAAAAAAAAAAATTCCCATTTTCTAAAATTTTCCCTACTGAAAGATTGGGTTATGAGCTCACTTCTTTGCTAAAAAAAAAAAAAAAGAAAAAAAAAAAAAAAGAAAAGAGAGAAGTATTAACTCTTGAGTGTCTAGGGTGATATTTGAAATACTTATTTGAACATATGAAAGAAAAAATTAGGCTTATTCAAAGTAACATAATCTATTATACTTTAAAAGCAACATAATTATGGTACTTTTCCCTAGGCACAAAGATGTTTTAAACTATGAACATATACAAAGAGCACACTGAATGGCCAAATTTAATTTTTCTTCCTTTCACATGTTTATTAAGATTTTTGCTAAAATGCAGGAATAGCCTTGTATCTAGGTAGTCAGTTAACTCAATAACAGTAAATAAATTACTAAACATAAAAACCAAAACCAACAGTACCGGCTTTCAGAATTTCATTACCTGCTTTATTATCCTCATCAGGCTGTATTTCACGTTTACCAGTGAAACCATGTTTATCATTAAAAGATCTGTGGTTATCTACTGCATCTGATAAATAAATTAAAAAATCAGAGGAGTTAATTGACTTAACAACAACATTTACTATATTGCTTGCTTTTCATGGATTTCAAATAAAAGATCATGATGGACACTTCTGATGTACAAAATGACAAAGCAATTAATGTGTCACTAAATAACATAACCTTTCTTCTGAATTTGTGCTTATGATTTATATCATTTACAGACCCAGTCCTGTACTACATACTTGCTGAAGCTATTACTGAATTCAGAGGAAGTTGGAAAGAAAAATGCAAGTTTGTACATTTGCATGTAATTTGGGAAGTTGTTTATGCTACTCTTTCCTCTTTTTTCCAGAAAATGTTGCCAATGAGTTTGCTTAAAAGAAAACTGCAGATAGTTTTTGAAGGTTATTCATGTAAACTATCTTACATGCCCCTGGTGCCTCTTCTTTCCCCCTTGCAATGGACATTTCCTTTATCAGTAAAAGCTGATCAATACGACCTGCAACAAAGGATGATTCCTATTATCCAGTCTTAGATAAATGGCACTTTGACAAGTACATTTCCCCACAGTATCTTTGCCAATTTCTTTAGATCTGCCTTGGGGCAAATATACTTCCAGACATTTATGGAACCAGTTAATATGTTTTAGACAGATTTATTTTTTTTTTTTAAAGCTATCCTTAAGGTTAGTTAAAAAGAATGAAGAGAGTCATAGTAAGTATTTGTCATGTATTACCAAGACTGAAAATACAGGAACATTGGTAATGAGTGTTAGTACATTATCAAGAAAAAATGGCAAAAGGACAGATACTTGAGACAGCATTTCATTTTTCTTATAATCTACATTTATGATTCTCCATCTTTGTAAACCAATGTATTCCTGTATTTTAAACAAGAAATATTAACAGTTCACTATGTGAAATATATTTACAGTCATGAGTTTACATGTTATTGTTTTAATTTGTTTTGCTTTAATTGGAAAAAGGAAAATAGTAGTATAATGAAGCCAGGTAGCAAAGTCATTTTCAAATAGATTTAAAGGTGAAATCTGAAACACATCAAGAAGTGCCAAAATGTGACATTTTGTCATTCTTACCTTGACATCTAAGATAGTATAAGATTTTATAACTCTGTGTGTGTGTATGTAATTATTTGTCATATGAAAATTACAGTTCAGAAGCACAAAGAGTGCCCAGGTGTGCTTCTGGATATAAAGCCTCACAGCACAGCTTTGCTTTAGAAAAGAACAGTCATTGTCTAAGACAACTCAATTCTATAATAGGCATGTAACAAATATGTAAACAAGTATTCCCCCAAATGAGTTTCTTCAGTCTTGCAGGTTTAAACAAAATTACTGTATTCATCAGAAAAGTGAGTAACACACTAAACTGGTTTACAAGAAAAAAACCTGCTGTATTTTGAAATAATAAAAAAACCACCAAACCCACCCCAACACCAAACCAGCAATAAAACCCCAACACAAAAACATGCTTGACTTACGTGGCCCAAGTAGGTAACCAGCACTATTCAAAGTCCAGCCTCTTTTTTCTTTTGCCTTAAAGAAAAAAAAAAGCAAATATGTTATTGCATGACCTACACAGTACTTAGCAGACAAAGCAAACAGCACCCAAATGGACATTGTCTTAGTATAAAGTGTCTTCTGAAGGATTGAAATAAAGAAATATTGTAAAAAAAAAAAAAAAGCCAATAATATTAAAGCAAATATTAATGGTGAACTCTTGCTCCCTGCCCATCTAAGTCAATAGTTTTGCTATTGACATCCATGTGGTGTGAAATTTTCATAGCACATAAGTGAAACTGCTAATAAGACTTTGGAGGCAGAAATTTTGAGTTTGTTCTCCAAGTTGATCACCTGATAATCACCTTAACAAAAAGTAATGCTTTCTTTTGTTTGGATTTACATGACAGCCTCTTTATAAAAAGGGTCCATATGTACACCATCTTTTCTGAGTTGGATGGGACATCCATTCAATTTTGGTCTATAAACTAGACATTCTTTTTTCCCTTTAGTCATATTATTTGTTACAAGGGAGCTAGTATTCAAAAGCCTCTAATTCTCATGTAAAAATCTGTTCACTGCCCCAAATGTTTTTGAGTGCTGCATCTTGTCCAACCCCTATATCTAAATACAGTGTATATCACTGCAAGGTTTACTGTTACTTGCCAGCTGAGACATGGATGCTGCCCAGTGAATAGGGCCTCTAACAGTGAAATTAGTACTTACTGAGAAAACCAGTCCAAATGTTTCTGACAGGGTGGCACAAAGGATTAAAGACAAAAACAGGAAACTAGTGCACCTCTGCATCTGGAAAGAAACCGTACTAGGGTAAATTGCTCCGAGTTACCGCTTTGCCTTGCAGTTACGGATCCCCCAGGGCATGTGATCATCCCCACCGCAGGTGGGAAGCGGGAGTGAACCTTCTTCCCCTGGGGCAGGGCGGCTGTAGCTACCGATTTGGCACCCAAATTCCCACTGTGAGAGAGACCGAGACGTGGGGAGGGGAGTACCTTGAGCTGGGGCGCGACGACCTCTCCCTCGCAGCGTTTCACCTGGTGCTGGCGGCAGGGCAGCTTGTTCCACGGCTGCAGTCCTGCCGGCAGGCACTCACTGCATGGCCACGGTGCACGGGTCTGCACAAATCTGCACGCCCACCCTGTGTTCCCTCCGCTCTTTATGGGCTGCAGCACGACCGCGCAGCAGGGGCGCCCTCCCGGAGAGGGGAGGGGGAGAGCAGAGAGCCGCCCAACCCCCTCTCCTCCGCCTCCCCTGGGTCATTCCCCCCTCGCCTACCCACTGCATTTGGAAGGGCAAAAATTATAGCGATTCAATTAGAGGTATTTGGAAGCACGACGCAGGCTGCAGGGAGATAACAGCCGGGGCAATTACCTCTGATTACAGCGGCCTTGGGCAGGCTGGTGAGCAGCGAGAGGAACTCTGGTTTGGACAGCCTGGCCTGCGCCTGTCACCCACTGAAAATTCAGAAGGGCTTGGTTGGTGGCGGGGAATAAGAAGGTGTAAAGCGAATACAGATCACTTTTCAGAGCCTCAGGTATGGAAGCAGAGCTAAATACAAACATCTGCGTGTGATGCTGGCTAACAAAATTCACAGTGTTTGGGCTCTGTGTTTTGGAATACTGAGGACATCACCCCTCTGCTCCGCTTCTGATCCCTGGAGCTCCCTGTGGTCCAGGCCACTAATGGTCCCTTAAAATCCCTTTGACTCACGCCCTTTGCTCTAGCATCACAGCAAAAGGAGCTGAGTCAGTATTGCTATTGTACTTCCTTGCTGCTTTACATCTGAGAAACCACTTTTTTGTCCTTTTTTTTTTTTTTTTTAAAGGTTATATGTGAAAGGCTAGGGATGTAGCTCTCCCCATTGATTGGTCTAGCCCCAGCCTGTTAATTTATAACCAGTGAAGTTTCACCAGTTTGCTTATGTTAGTTGTGGTTACAGCTGGCATCAGCATGTGCAAAATTGAATTATAAGGCAGAGATTCCAATGTTATTTCCCCCTTTTTCCCCTGCCAAATCCTATTTTCTCTGCAACAGATGAGTTTATTCATTACAAGTCCCTCAAATTCATCTTTCAGTAAGGAAAGCATCACAGATGTTGCATAGAATAAGTTATACTTCCAGCTCCTTTTTCTGAAGCTGCTTAAGATTCTCTGCAAAATTTTACACAGTGTGTATGTGAACTTGAATGTGGAGCCGGGACAGCTATCGAATGATGCAATGTACCTATCATCCACCAGTTTAAAAGCAAACAATTTTTTTACTTCAATGTAGCATAATGTACATAATCCAGGCTAGAAGCAGAAGGTGTGTCTTGTAGTTCTGTTTCCTACTCTCTTTTGTCAGGAGCAGTAGGGTTATAATAGTCTAGCCATGTCATTTGATCTCTGATCTAAAACTGCTTGAATAAAGTTTATTTTATGCAATTCTTAAATGCTAATGTACATAAATGGGAAGCTCAACTTTGCAGATTTCATTTGATGCTTTTTATCATTTGCTGAGGATGTTCTGTCAGCCATTGCATGACCCTCACAATTCAGACTAGACAGATCTGGAAAATAGCAATATAATTTTTGCAAAATGTTGTTTACCTTATCAAAAATGCACTTCTGGCTGAATTTTCCTAGCTTTCAACTGTTAAATCCCCAAAAGTAATTTCTGAAACTTGAAGCTTCTCCATGACACAAAATATTTTCTTTGTGTTATTCGAATAAAACCACAAAAGTTATGTCAAGAGATGTCAAAATTTGCATTGTAGCAATATTACAAAGAATGTGTTAATTCTGTTAGCTTTGACTACAGTTTGTTCTTCAGGTTCCTGTAAAATGTATTTGAAACAATGTATTCTAACCTGTAATTTTTATTCCAATTTTTCTTCACAATACTTGTATCTTCTTGTCAAATCACAGAGTAAAATGATCTCTTCATCTCCACTAAAGTCAGATGCAAAAGAAACCCTCTTTGTGTACTCAAAGGCTTAATCCATCACTTGCCTATCATACTTTTTGCCTAAATCTATCTTTAGGTTAGTGTCAATTAAATAATTTTATCAGTCATTCCTACAATCGATGTTCTCATTCCCTCAATTTTCCTTGTCAAGAATATTATTAGTCTTTTTTTATTCTGTAGGAATTTTAAATCTCATTGCTCAGACATAAGACTTAGAATTAGTCTGAAGCCTGCCTTTTCTAGCTTAGCTTGAAAAATGGCCATCTCTGTGACTACATGGTTTATTTTCTTATTGTGGTGACCCTTCAATGTACTAATTCCTCCATTGATTTATTTGTTTTTTGGTTAATTGTAAAGGCTTAATGCAATTTGCAGTAGCTGTTAGGTTATGCCTAGTCCTCACCAGAGGTTCACCATCAGACAAATGAAGCTCGCCATCACAATGAAGCTCATCTAAAATTTACTCAAGTCAATAGAACAATAAGCATTGATAACAAAACTGTCTCTAATGTCTCTAAATTGATACATGAGAGACAGGACTGCCACTGGCTGTCTCACACAACAATATGTACTCTGTTCTATAATTGTAACTGCATTTCATAACAATTAAATGAAAACATAGGGGAGAATACTGTTTTCAGCCAGAGTAAAAAGCTTAAAATTTTTAAGGAAATGATAATATGGATTAAATAAATTAGGGTATTGAAACATTGGGCTTGGGAAAAAAAATTTGTTTTTTTGTCACTGGAGATTCAATTTTGAGAACAACTGGTAAATCCTACTATATGTTTAATGGTAAACATTTCCCTTATATACAGTTGATGAGGTTGGATGACCTATTTTATTTTTAATTAACAAACCCCATAAACTGTCAAGAATGGTTACTTTGTATAATATTGAGGAAAAACACTGAATGGAAGTAGATTTTGCAGTATGTTTTGGAAGGGTTTGGAGTTGCACTGGCTCCCTTCACTGTCAAGCTTACTGCGAGCTTCATTAATGAAGCAGGAAAAAGTGTGTCTGCTATTTCTATGTTGAAGTTGTATAAGCAGGTTTGGTTTCAGCAACTCACCAATGAATATTAAAATCAAATATTAAAACCCACTGCATTCACAGATTGATGTCTGTCTGCATGAAAAATGAGTGAGGTTTTTTCCTACTTCCCAGGTAAAATGTGAACATATTGTTTAAGACCATCCTTAAGTATGTACACAAAATCTCTAATATTATATGAGCAACAGCAATGAATTCTAGGCTTAAGAGATGAGTTACCAGAAAAATTTGTCTCCCATACACTGGAGTAATTCTAGTGAAACACTGACATTACAGAAAGTAAATGCTTTATTGGGGAGTATCATATCTAGCTAACTAGAAATGATTCTTTGCAGAAGTTTGAAGACTTCTAACTTTGCATCTAATTCAATATTTACCAGGGGACCACTAACATGCACTGATACCCGTAACACGTGTTACTCTTTTTTTCTGCATTGGAAACAATTTTAGATTTTTGAGATCAGTGTTTTAACCCTGAATACAGAGATTTACCGTAACTGAGCATGGAGATCACAAATGCAAGGCTTTCTATGGCTAAATCTAATTCTGAGTGGGAAAGGCACAAATTTCTTTCCAACAGAGCATGGACACTGACAGATATGAGTATCCAGAAGCAATGAGACATTCCAGTTGCCAACAAGGCTGTGGATCACTTCACTGATCTAAAAATTTAATGCTATTTTGGTTGTAAATGAGGACACTATCACAGAGCTGAAAAGTTATTTAAAGTTTTTCTTTCTCTTCAACAGCATTACCCCACCCTTCAATATTTGCATCTCAGCTGTTCATTGTTAACCTAAGCAGAGATAAGTTGAAGATGACACTGTTTGCATTTATCTGAAGATGACGTAGAACTTCAATATGCAACTATCATTTTGAAAGTGGTTTGCTCTTCAAGTCTTTAAGAAACCTCTTGATTATTTTTTCCCTCACATGTACAGAATCTGTTTCTTCTTTAATGGATGTAGAACACAGAACTTTTTTCTTTTTTTTTTAAGTAGTAATAAGAGAAGGGATATTTTCTTCATCCTTCCAAAGCCTTTGCTATTGTTTTCTTCCCATTTTCCCATTTTGTAATTTCTGTAAAATGTAAGCAATTTTCACTGAGTGAATCTTTTGCTCTTTTTGCCACCTGTAGCTCAAATAGAAATAATTATAGATACCCTCTGAATGAAGGGCTGTTTTCTGTTCTGAATTACACTGATATCAACTAATAATTTCCTGTTATTACATCAGTGTGCTACCAGAGATATTATTCACACAACATATATCATTGCAACAAAACTGTGACTACCCCATGTCAGATCTTATATATTTTTAAAAGGATTTTTGTTTCAAGAAGCACATTGATTTTACACTAATTGTGTATAAAAAAAGAAATGACAGAATAAAAATTTCAGAGAAAAATTCTGACAGTTGATTACCATATACATCAATAATATTGTGTGAAGTTATAAAAACACTTAGTCTTGATTCCTGCTTCATAAAACTTACAGGACAATAATATATCTGTCCCATTTGGTTAAAATTAGCCAACAGTTTCAAATCTATCAAGGACAGGTTGTTAGCCAGCATAATCACATAAGCTCACTGCAGGGGTTTGGGTTAGATGAAGTCTAAAGGTCCCTTCCAACCCAAAGCATTCTATGATTCTATGATTCATATCCTAAAGAGGTCAGACTAAGCCAGAGGCTCTCTTGATGAGGGTTTATCTGAGAAAAACACTAAGAATTTGAAATATTCTAAGAAATACCATTTACAAGGGTTTCCAGTTCTGATAGTAGTGAATC